ATGAAAGCAATAGATACCAATATTAATAGTATAGTTTATATATCCTTTAGTATAGAGAATTTGGTGGAATGTTTATATAATAAAATATAATTTACGGTCCTTCGAGTCGGATGAAGTCAAGTAGAAAGTATTGTTGGGGAGATGTAAAAGGTGTACCTGTACGGGGGAGAGTTGTAGACTTCGCGGCTCGGTCGCGAACTGCAGTTTGCCCCGTGGCCGCGCCTCCGACACGCTGTCCTTCGGCGACTTCGCCTGCATTACACAGCTTAGATTCAATCGATATTCAATGTCATAAAAAAAATGTTCATAAAAAAGCAACTTTAAAATTTTGTGTAATTAGTTATATTAATTTGCTTTAGATTTTCAATACACAACACCAAAAGCATATAAACAAATCACATTGACGACAATAGGCAAATAAGAACAAATTTAATTGAAACCATAAGGTTCTAAAATAATTGTGTGTAAACAAAGTATATAAGATGACATTAGATTATAAGAAATCCCATAACCACTTCTATTGCTATTTACAACTACTGTTATTTCGCACACCAAAAAGATATCTTAGTTCCAAGCATGACAGTCACCGGGTGAATGAAAGACGAGTGAATCAATTACAATAGTTCTATTTTATTTAATTCATCTATTTTAAAGTAATGGTAAAATTGTAGGGTTTTAATTTGTTAAAAAAATCGCATATTTCCCATTCTGCAATGAAGACAAATATTGTCGTCAAGATAAGGGAATTGTCATAAATAATTTATTATTAAAAAGTAGTGGTAGTTTTATTGATATCAAAAACATTTTAGTAACATAAAATTATTAGAAATCTTAAACGTTGGGACATTTTTTAGATAAACAAATGGTAACCGACTTGACATAGGGTTGGCACAATAAACGTCACAAAACAATGCGTAAGTTATAGGCACGGTCAGCAGGCGGGGGTCCACTGCGGTTACCTGCGTTGCGGTTGCGGCGCGCGGCGGCGGTGCGGTGCGGCGCGGGCCCGCGGCCGCGGCGCGCCTGCGGTCACCGCACGGTTACCACTCGCCACTCTCACCGCGCGCACAACCGGTACTAACCAGCTTAGCTTGTTATTGTACAACGTCACCCATTGCTGTTATTATTTAATTAAATCTAATTTCTCTTCTTGTTTTATTAAAGCTAAGCTCATTAGTACCGGTTATTTGTGCACCTCTTAATACTACTGATACAATCTACGAAGTCTATGCAAATCTCATACAATTGTAATGTGAGAAGGATGTGCATAATGATCAGCGCTTAGCCCAATTAATGAGAAAATTAATGAAAGTTCATAAGATAGAATTTAGTTGAAATACTTGTTAAAATGTTTAGTCAACCATGATGTCGTGCAAGTTTTAGTGGTCTAGTTCAGCTAGCGTCGTGTGGTCACCTCGCCCGGGCTAACCATACGTGGCACTAGTGTGAGTAGTGAGCGTACTCACCGCTGCGGTGTCTTCTATGAGCTGCGCGAGCGCGGCCGCTTCCGAATTTTTCAGCTCGGTCGCCTCGGACATAATGTGCGCACGGAGCTGCTTATTTCTGAAAATAAATCAATTATGTTACTCTAATGTCAAAGGAAAAGTCAAAATACCTTACTAAAAGAGTAAGTCGTCAGCGAAGACGTGTTGCGTCATT